GGCCTCCACACTGGACTGGATACAGGCAGAAAGGGGGCTGCTTCTCACTTTAATTTGGGAAGCACCACAAGATGTGCCTACCCCAAGCTTGTCCTTTGCTAGGCCTTGGAAGTCACCCTGGGCCTAGATGGTTCATGGTGAGAACCAGATCATGTGTTATGATGATGAGAAGTATGGGCTTTGGAGTCAGACAGACCTGCGTTTACATCCCAGCTAGTGGTGTGACTTTGGGCAAATCACTTCTCATTGAAGACTTCATGGGAGAATGATGACAACCTCATAGGGTTCTTCGGAGACCCAACTGAAGTAGTCAGGCAAAACCCTTGGCCCCTGGCAAGCCCTGAATAGTGTACTTACATCTTCAGTGTGTCGTCTTCGCCACCTCTCCAGAAAGCCTCTGTTAAAATCCAAGTGCAGCTTAGGAGTGAGGTGCATCCACAGGATATAGAATTGCAGAACTAGAAGGTAGCCTGTGGAGAGCAGAGAGTTGGGCCCTGAGCCCATGCTACTTATGGGTGAGCTTAACTAAACCTGGGGTCCCAAGCTCAGGGTACCTCCTTGGAGGGAGGGCAGTTCTGGAATAGTGCCACCATGAAGGACAAAAGGAGGACTGAGTCCAAGAGGGAGGAGGTGGTGCAACAAGAGCTGGAAAGGAGCCTGGGTTACAACACACTTTGGTACCCACTCAGGAACAAGCTAGAGGGAGTTTCTACACTATCTAGAGCAGGGGTTGGCAAACTACAGCCCCCAGGCCAAATCCAGCTCTCTACTATCTTCCTAAATAAAGTTTTATTAAAATGCAGTCATGCCCTTCATTTGGGTATTGTCTGTGGCTGCTTCTTTGCTGCAAAGGCAGGGTTGAGTGGTTGAAGAAGAGACTGTATGTCCTGCAGAGGCTAAGATATTTATCCTCTGGTCTTTCATAGAAGAATTTGCTGGTCTCTGGCCTAGAGGACTTCATTCACATAGACCACAGTGACTGGAATCACAAACCTTAGAGTCACACAGACCTGGCTGTGATGGGAACAGTACCACATAGAATTGGGAGTGTCCTGCTGGTTCACCTGTAAATGAACATGATCCCTGTCTGAGAAGGATTTCCTGCACGTTTTGGGGGCTCAGGAGAGGGAAGAAAGCAGCGTCTGTGAAATGTCAGCACCTCACTGGGGGCCGTAGTTCCTGCTGAAAGTCAACAGCATGAGGCTTGGGAGGCTCTGAGCAGGCGAGGAGGTGAGTCTAAATTTAGACTTTCCGAAGCTGCTTTGTAAACCAGAGCCTCAGGAATCCCAGAAAGGACAGTTGGCACACACCACCTCGTCTCTGGTTTGCCTCCACATGTTAGAATGTTGAATGCATGAGAGGATAATTAATTGGCCTCAAATAAGATATTTCTGGAGAACCAGTGAGAAATCAGTGGAGAGGTGAAGTGCTGGGGTAGATATTTCTACTCCTGTGTTTGTTCCCCGTGGAATCCAGGGAGCCTGGACTGCCTTGTTGGGTGTTATTTGAGCACAGCTGAACCTATGACCTTTCTTTCTCTCAAGGTGAATGCCAAGTCCCTGGTTGAAAGTCACACTGTGATTCAGAGCAGCTCTGAGCCACCAGCTCCAAGTGGAGACTGATGCTGCTTTTCCCTGAAGCTCATCATGCCAAGGGCTGCCATACTCAATCCTCTGCCCAGGCGGGCACACCCAGATGCCAGGTCTACCCCTCGCTAGGATGGATGGGCCCACACCTCTTAGTATATCACACAAGCAATGAACACTAACCCAAGACTTCTTAGGTAATAGGTGTTCTGTAATCAGTCCATATGTGGAAAAAATCAAAGGGTTGACAGTAGAAATTATAGAAGAACCAGTGGCCCAGTGCACGGATTCATGCACATTGAAAGAAAATTAATTAGAAGAAATACTTTAATATCACTATTGGAATATTCTGTCCACGACACCACTTTCTTTCAGCTTCAGAATGTCAAAAAAACCAAATTCACGATCGACAATGACAGATTGAAACACACGCGTGCAATTGGTGCCAGAGAGAGCTTTATATGTATCACACATGGGCAAGTCAACATTTATTTTTAAATTGCCAGTGCGTGTCATATGTACTGGCCAGTCGGTCAGTCGGACGGTGGGACGGACGGATGGTCGGGCCCTTAGCCTTTTATATATATAGATGATAGAAAGAAGCTTAGAAAATGAAGAGTTCTGAGAAGAAATGAATAGTAGCAAACTCAAATGGGAACAGAGAAATGGTCAGATGAAGACTCCTGGTCAGTGTTGACATTCTAAGAGAGGCAGCATCGAAGCTGAAGATGATGCTAAGGGAGTTGAAGTTCAGAAATGCTGGTTTGTCTGAGTGGCTGGGGCTAATTGTGAGAAGGGTCCTGTTGAGCACGTTGCATTGGAGCAGCAAGCACAGGAAGGGGAGGCCTAGGGAATGTGGGCATCACAGTAGTGGAGACATAACCGATGTTCCTCGGCACTTCCAATCCAGTTATTTTCCGAGTGCTACTTTGAACCCTGGACTTAAGCTTAAAGTCTAGTTGGGAGGTGGACATGTATCAAAAGTTAAATAACAGCCCAAATGAGGATATGGCAAGTGTCAAGTACAGTATACACAGGAACGCCACAGGAGTTTGGAAAGGGGAGAAGTGTCACTGAGGACTGGATGGATGCATCGCAGAGGAAGTGAGACTTTGCCTGGATTCTGAGTGATGGGCAGGGTTTCAACACGTGGGGAGGAAGCAGGAGAACATTTCAGGAACCAGGAAGGTGCAAGCAGAGAGGCCAGGCAGGAGCTGAAAGAGTAAACTTAGAGGTCCACGAGGAAGGTGGAGAGGGTGTGCAAGGTAACCTGGTACCTGCCCGCTGAAGCTGACAGTGTGCTGGGAATCCACTGAGACACACACACACACACACACACACACACACACACGGGAGACAGTCCCTCTGCCCATGTGAGAGGAAAAGGAAAGAGTTTTGAAACATAAATAAAGCACCTCTTAATTATTCACAGATTATCTGCATTGCAGCTGATCTCACACAGCTGATCCAAATCCTGCTTTGGGCTTGCTGGTGATGTCATCTCTCTGCTTAGGTGCCCATTCCCGTCTCTGTTTACAGCCCTGCGAGGGCTGGAACGGGAAGAAGGCTTAAGTCTCTCCTCAGAAAGCAAAATATGTAAATATAAATGCTTCTGGTTGCTGTGCCCTTGGGAACCACACCAGGCATATGGGGAGAAAGTGAAAGAAGCTCCAATTTAGGTTTTGTTACCTGCCTTGGGCAGCAGGGTCAGAGGAGGCATGGAGTGGGGCACTGGGGCACCTCTCTTGTTCCCCTGAATCAGACATCAGGTGGACTTCACTAGCACAGATGTTAGGCCGTAGCTCAGTGGGTGGTCCCAGCGCTGACTCCAATTGGCTGGGAGTCCTCAGGGTGAATGGTATTCATTTATCATGTCATCCCATGTTTATTGACCCTCTCTCTGTAGACACACTGAGCTGGTATTCTCGGAGCCTCGGTGCCCTCATGGGCAGATGAGGACTTGCCTCTTAGTGGAGGGGCTGGCCTTGGGGTGGGTTCAGGTTCCTCACTGATGGAGATGCTCTGCAGGATGGTTAGCGAATCGGGCCCTGCCTGCTAAAGGCCAGTAGTGGCTCCTCCTCAAATGGGCCCAGGAGGGCAGGACCACCCCCGCTAAGGACCCGGGACCTGTCTGCTACATTGCCTCCCAGTCTGAAACTCTGCAAGTCGATGGTTATTTTGCTGCGGGGCCCAATAAAAACATGCAGAGCAGGTTTGCTGAGGGTTTGCTGAGATACCAGAATAGTTGGAGCTACTTCCTATTTAAGTGTAAGGGGATTTTCAACAACAGCAACAATAGGCAACATCTATTGAGCAAGGACTGTGTCCCAGACCCATGGCAAATTTCTTTCATTAGGAGTTTTTAGAGGGGATCTGATTATTTACTACTTCGTATCATCAGTGTCCCCTAATTTGCCTGCTTAGTTTCAGAGCACTGGCCGTTGTTTTGCTTCAGTTATCATTTGCAGAGTTGTGCGGGGTTCAGACCTGAAAGTATCCCCACAGGGCACCCTGCCGTGGGATGGGCACGCAGAAGCAGCCTTGGCTAGATTCACGCCTCTGTTCTGGACACGGTGTTTGTTCTTTGTGAATCTGTGGACCTAATAAACTTATAAAGCCTGTGACTTCCTCAGACTGAATTTATATCGCTAGTTTTGCAGTTTTTTTCTCCCCCCTTGGGTCCTATGCCTGTAATTGGAGTCAGCAGTCACCGGGGAGCAGTCAGGATTGGATTTGACCCATTGCTTTGAAGAGCTAGGTCCCCATCCTCCAAGAGAATACAGTCCACCATGCCAGCCCTGGTGTCACGCTGAGATGCTCAGCTGGGCAGAGAGTCCCTTTACTGGGGCAGCAATACAATTTCCTTGCAATTTGGTATGTGTGCTTATGTCATCTACATGGAAAGCAAGCGACGCCATTGTAATTACATTGCTCATTTGCATATTAAGTTATTAAAATATTCAAAGACATTTGCAGAAGAGGGAAGAAAAGGAGTCCAAGTGGAAGAACAAGATGATTGATCCTTTATTTTTTTGCCTGCTACTGGTTACTGTCCACTCTCACCCTCCCTGGCTAGTGCTGATGTGTGTGTTCCGAGGGCTTAAAGAATGAATTTCTCAAAGGTCAGAGCTGATCATTCCCTCCTACAATCTGTGAGTGTTAACCTTCGGGGAGCAGGCATTTACATAAAAGGCACACCGCTTGATGATCTTATCAAATCAGTCCATCTTCTCTCTTCCAGAGGAGCTGCACACAGCAGGAGGGGGCTGGGCGCCCGAGCCCGGAATCCCCTGAGCAAGCAGTGTTTCAGTGGCTGGACAGATCAAATAACACCAGGGCTGGTTAACAAAACGCGCTGGTGGGAAGGTGTTGGGAGCTGAGTGTGGAAATTTACCAACGTTATTTCTTTGACAGGGAAGGAGACTCCGTCTGAAAGATGCCGGGTTCCCGCAGCCTCTCGGAGTCCAGCAGAGCACAGTCTCGTTCGAAGAGGCATGGATGAGGGGGTGACAGAGGATGCTGCCCCCTGAAGCCTCCAGAGGTGCCTGGCCTGGCAGCTGAGCTCCCCTCGGACCTGGGACTTCGGGTGTAACTTGGTGTGCAGCTCATGGGAGGGGCAGGGGTTCTCCGGCTTTCTTCCCCGATGCCCACCAGCTGGTTTGGGCTGCAGGATCTAAGGTGAGCCGGCAGAAAGGGGAGCTGGCCGAGGTAGAAAGAAGCCCCGAGGAGCCTCCAGAATCCATTGTTGGGATCCCTTCAGTCTGCCCGGGACGCAGAGAGCAGCTGCGAAGCTGCCAGAGGCTGTGATACAACCGAGCTTCGGACCATCGTCAGTGAAGGAACGCAGAGCAGCAAAAGCATTTCAGCCCGAAGGAACTTCTTTCAACAAAGGACTTACAGGGGAGAGTTTCTGCATCTTTACTTTGTGGTCCCTTAGGAGAGAAAACTTGACGTTCACATAGATAACCAGATCGGTTTCTCTGTCCAAGATGCTCCCTGTGAAAGAAGCATGAGCCATTCTCAGCGTGGGGAAGGGCTCGGGACACACAGGAGTGGGTGGACAGCCCTCCCAGGGCTTGTTAAGAAAACAGCATGAGCCTCCAACTTCTGCAGCTCAGCAAGCATGGACATGTGCCACTCTTGTCTCCAGGGAGCTGGTGGCAGTGACATCACCACGAGAAAAAGCATCCCTCAGCCTCGGGACTTGACAGAATGAGGTGTGCTGGGGAGGCCACCAGCTGGGACCCGGCCTTTCCCGACCGCCCCTCCGTCCCACGGGCGTCCCCTGACCACCACTAAGCCAACGATGGCCGAGAAGGGGGACTGCTTTGCCAGTGTCTACGGCTATGACCTCGGTGGGCGCTTTGTTGACTTCCGACCCCTGGGCTTCGGTGTCAATGGGCTGGTGCTGTCAGCCACGGACAGCAGGACCTGCCGGAAGGTGGCCGTGAAGAAGGTCACCCTGAGCGACGCCCGCAGCATGAAGCACGCCCTCCGGGAGATCAAGATCATCCGGCGCCTGGACCACGACAACATCGTGAAGGTGTACGAGGTGCTGGGGCCCAAGGGCACCAACCTGCAGGGCGAGCTGTTCAAGTTCAGCGTGGCCTACATCGTGCAGGAGTACATGGAGACCGACCTGGCCCGCCTGCTGGAGCAGGGCACGCTGGCGGAGGAGCACGCCAAGCTGTTCATGTACCAGCTGCTCCGCGGGCTCAAGTACATCCACTCGGCCAACGTGCTGCACAGGGACCTGAAGCCCGCCAACATCTTCATCAGCACCGAGGACCTCGTGCTCAAGATCGGGGACTTCGGCTTGGCGAGGATCGTCGATCAGCATTATTCCCACAAGGTATGTCTGGCCGGAATGGCGGATAGGGGTGGCCCATGGGATCCTCAGGAAGCGCGCAGTGTTCCAGAGGGTATCCCTAGCTCCCTGGGAATCAGCGGCCTGGGGTGTGTGTCTGGGGGAGGCTGGAGGGTGCTAGAAAGATCACTGGCCTGAAAAGTTGTTGAGGGGGTGGTTTGGGTTCTTGATTTTGGCTCTGCCATGTGGCCATGACCAATAACTCCAGGCTGTGCAAGAGGGGGTTGGACTGGATTATCGCTAAGATTTCTTCCAGTTGCAAACTCTGTGACTTTAAAATTGTGCAGTTGGTGAATTTGCCTCTAGCATCCCCTAATGAGGCTTCCACCACACCAGCTTTATGCGCTGGTTCATCTTGCCGCCTCCTCCTCTTCCTCCTCCTCCTCCTCCTCCTCCTCCTCGTCCTCCTTGTCCCCCCAATAAAGCTGACCCACTCTGTGTCCCATTCTCTCTGTCAGCGGACAAGTTCAACTGATCAACTCATCCTCAGTGTCCATTATCCAACAAATGGCACAGCTCTCCCAGGTCCCACAATGCCCTGGTCCCTGAGTGTGATGAAGCATGGATGTCTGGGTGGTACTGTTGAGACCCCATGTGGTGGGTGGCTAAATGCAGAGATCAGAGCTGACCCCTCCATCTGGAGGAGATACTGACACTCCTCTAGACCTCTTCTTACCTAATGCACTGCTCCCTTTAGGAGCTGGAAATTCTCTGACATTCTATTCCCCTCACCCCTTGGTTCCTGCCATTAAGGGGAGCCTCTGAGCAGCTCAGCCTGAGCACACGTCACCAGGTTCCCCGCACCAGAGCTGGGGGGTGAGTGTCATTTCCAGCCTCCAGCCAACACCTTCGTGCCACTGATTTTTATTAGAATGAAAACATCCTCTGGGAAGTAGGTGCACCATAAACCGTTATCAGCCAAAGGGCTAGGGTGGGTCATGAAAGGGAAGGGTAGCTCCGACCTTGAACATGCTTCGGCACCCGATTTGCCTGCAGCCAGAAGGTCACAGATGCATAGAAAGGCACTGGCCTGCCTGGTGCAGCTGCAGCGGGAGGGTGTCTGGGGGAGAGGGAGGCAGGGCTCCCTGTCCCACCCTCACAGGCTGGAACTTGGGCTCCAGCCCAGATTTCAGAGCCCAAATCAGCTCAGCTGGCTCTAGCTCCTTGGTGCCGCCTTAGCCCTGAGATTGCCCTGTGCTCCCCTCCTACAGCCCGGCCATCTGTCAGAACTGACAGCTGACTCTGTAGGCAGGAATGTCCATGGTAAACAAACAAACAAACAAACAAAAACGTCTTCCTGTCACCCTAATGCCCGGTGCTGTTTCTACCTTCTCTGTCCTCTAAGGAGCAATGACTCCAAGCAATTGAACCAAAGATTTTAACCCAAATTAGTTTTTATTTGGTAATAAGAGAGTCCATGACACTCTTATTTCTGTTACACAAAATCACCTTCTGAATTGGAATAATCCAGTACACTGGGAATAATAATAGGACCTCCCTTGATTACAGAGTCTGAGTAAGTGAAGTATTTCAGCTCAGAACAGTCCCTCAGGGACAGTCAGGGGAGGTGATCTGGGGCAAAGATTGGCTGTAGTAACAATTCCTGGGAGGGGCACGGTGCGAGGAAGGAGCGCTATGTGAGGAGGCAGACACCTGGGCTCATTTCTGATGGTGTTAAGTTGGGATGTGGATGCTCCCTGCCTGGGAGCCTCAGTTTCCCCTTCTTGACAGGGTTGATAACATGCCCTGTCTGTCCCACTGGCTTGTTGGTTATGAATAAAAGAGGAGGATAAACGTAAAGCCCCTTGGAGAGTAGTGAGGACCCCATCCATTCATTTCTTGAGTGTTTTCTGAGTGCACACCGGGCCCAGGCCCAGCTCTGGGAGCCGGGAGGGTCACTGCCCGCTGACTGTGAGTGGCTGTTACCGCATTACACAGGGCAGGGAGCCGCGTCTCTGAATGGGACTTTCATTTTCCTCATGCCGGGCAGTGTAAACGCTCTGCCTTACTCTTGGTGGGCTCTCTTCAATCAAATCAGCTATTGGAGTTTTTAAAAAAATCACTGGAGCCACTTGCAAGCCCAGTAGGTGTTCACGTCAGTCCTGTGTTTGGCAGGGGCCACCTACCCTCACCCACCTCCTCCCTCATTACCTTCTGCTTTTAGCTTCCTCCCTTCTCTTCCCTGAGTGACGACGGAGGCTTGACATTTGATGCTTTTATTTACATGAAGTGCATTTAGTGAGTCCGTTCTCATCTAATCCTCAGACTGCTGGGAGGCACTTAGGAAAAAGGGTCCATTTTAAAACAGAGACCTGGCTTTCTCAAGCTTCCTTGGCCAACAGTGGTCGAAGGGGCTTTGGAACTTGGGCCTTCTTGTGTCTTGATGGGTGGTCTTTCCGTGAGCCATGTCCTTCATGAAGGCTTTCTGGATTCCCGGTGGGAATTGATCTTTCCTTCCTTTGAATTTCCATATCGCTTTCTCCCCATCCCAGACCCCGGATCTTCTAGCACCGGTGACCATTGTCTGCTCTGTCTTACGGGTATTTATTAGTATCTGTGTCTTTTGTGCTCTTCTAGGCTGAGAGCCCCTTGGTTCCTTGTGGGCCGTCTCATGTTCATCTTGGTTTCCTCCAGGGAGTCTAATCACTGTGTCTGAGACATGGCCAGCTGACTTGGTTGGCTGCCTTGAACAGATGGAAGACTAGTCATTTACCAGCACATTACTGATGGGAAGCTAGTTGAGTTCATTGATTCCATGTGGTTAGAAGGTTTGACTCTCAGAAAGAAAGCACATTCAAAGGAGAGGCATTAAAATATATGCCTTCAAATCTTAAATAGATGAAAAATTAGCGTGCAGTGTAAGCATGTATAATGAAAGCATATATATATATATATATATATATATATATATATTAAGCATATATATTATCAGAGGGGGAAAAAGAGAGCACGTAATTCTCCCAGCCAATGGATTGGTTGGGGTGAGATGTGTGCGACTCCCCCTGGTGTGCATGGAGGAGGATGTTTACATGTGAACTGCTCTAAATGTAACCCCTCCTAAAGTTTTATGGGTCCTGCACTCACCTTGAAGCGGTCATGCTCACCTGGGCTGCAGCTAGTGCCTCGGTGTGTTACAAAAAAAGGTGCCCCCTTTTGCAGGCTGATTCAGCTCAGTGCCTGTGATTGGCTTCGTGATCCAAATGGGGGCTGGACTTGGTCCCTCGGCCAAGCACGACCCACCTAGCACTAAGCAGCAGCTGGAATCTTGCTGTCTTCATCATGACTTTCTCATGGGTGGACAGTAAGTCTCATGAACCTGCACATCCCCTCCTCTAGCATGGAGTCTGGCATGGGTAGGTGCCCATTGTGTTTGTCTGGTGAAGGAGGTGCCAGAGAAAACTGTCTTCTCTTTAATGAGCAGCTGGGAGCACTGGGGCTCCAGTCACAGAGCGCATTCTGAGCACATGTCCCCTACCACCCCACCCCTGGCGGTCTTGGTCCTTGTGATGTCCAGAGGGAACTAGAGGCCCCCAGCAGCCCACACTGTCAGGGATATGGCAGTGGTGGCAGTGGGGTGCTCTGATGGCTGTCTCTCAACAGAGGCAGCTTGGGGAGCATGTCTCTCTGTATCATCATTACTCACCTCACTAATTGCATGACCTCGGGCAAGGCCTTTTCCTTGTGCGGCTTACGAAGAGATCTGTAAGAAGACCTCACAGTCACCTCATTCATTCCCTTCATTTCACAGATGATAAAACCGAGGCCTGGAAAGGGAGAGACCTGCTCGAGGTCACACAATGAGTGGCTGAGCCAGAAGCACAACGCCCATGCTTCCGCTCCATGCCCACGGATTTTTCTGAGCCTCTCTTCTCAGTTGTCTTCTCTGCCAAAGGGGGTCATCGCTCCCATTCTGATTACTTCATAGGATTCTTGTTAGAGTCCAGTTGAAAGTGTGGAAGTCAAAGTGCTTTCAGATGTAGGCTAGATCCCTAACAGAACTATCTGCCCATTAAGTGCCATGTGACAGGATGGGGAACAGGCATACACCCAGATGTCAGTCTCCCCCCACACACTGAAATATGGAACCAACTCCCCACATGATGACCAGAGTCCTGAGGCTTCCCAGCCTGTGGTCCTGATAGGAACCCTTGCTGCCCACCTCCTTGGCAGGGGTCCTAGTTAGTTCCTTACCTAAAGCACCAGGGCACTGGTCGGCAAACTCGTTAGTCAACAGAGCCAAATATCAACAGTACAACGATTGAAATTTCTTTTGAGAGCCAAATTTTTTAAACTTAAACTATATAGGTAGGTACATTGTTCTTAACTTAATTAGGGTACTCCTATGGCTTAGGAAGAGCCACACTCAAGGGGCCAAAGAGCCGCATGTGGCTCTCGAGCCGCAGTTTGCCGACCACGGCACTAGGGTGGGTCATGAACTAGTTGTTTATGAGGAGAAGAGGCAGGTGAAGGATCAGAGCATGTTTTCCTTTGAATTTTTTCTATTAGGAAGCAGATGATCTCAAAAGAGAAAAAAAAATGTTGTTTAAGACTTCGCTGAGCCCTGTGTAAATTCTAAGACATGTCAGGAGGCCCCAGGAAACTGTGCAGAGGGCTGGGGAGTAGCGCGTGACAGCCTGGCTCACTGTGTGAACACTCCCCTCCTGGAGGGACCACCGTTGGCCAGGGGAGGGAGCCACCTGTCATCCTCACTGGGGTGGCCAGGAGACTGCCAGCCTTTCCCGGGGCAGAAGACAGAAAATACCCAGGGAGAAAGCAAGATAGGAGACCCATCAGAAGTTGGGCAACCAAAGGCTCTTGTGTTTTGGTGGATCATTTGAGAACGTCTGGCCTGCCTTTGGGTCCTGGGCCCTCTCTACTCTGGGACCCTCTGTTTTCTTACATCCTTCACGATCAGAACGCTTTCCCACTTTGCCTCTGTATCTCATGGAGACTCCTTAGAAACCAGCCAGTGCAGGGGTTCTCCA